TGATAAAAATTTAATAAAAAGTGAAAACACTAAAAAAAGTGACAAATTCAAAAAAAAAGCGACAAATACTAAAAACAAGTGACAAGGTGTCGATTTTCATATTGGTGTAACGCAATTGAGTTATTATTTGTCCAATCGAGGCATGGCAGATACCTTGTGCAATATGGTTATTGTATCTAGATTCTCAAATAAGTAGCCCCCATGGCACATCTCTAAGTNCTATACCCTTGGAGGCATAACCTGCGATTTACCTCATTCACCAAGGCCCGGTGCAGGATAGGTGGGGACCGCTAAGGATGCGGTTCATCCTTTTAGATTCTCAAATAAGTAATTCTGCATTTAATTATCTCTGTCATTATAGAATCCTAATTAATAATAGGATTCTGAATTTCATTTTAGATAGATCATTCATAAAATTATCTATGCAACATACCGACTATAAATTACTAAAAAAAAAAAAAATCTATAAAACAAAATTCAATAATCAAATAATTCGAAGGAAAAAAATAATGTATCTCCTTGGTGGATGTCTTAACAACAACTCTTTTATCTTTCAATCCTCTTTTTCATATCCTTCTTCACTTTCTCCAATAGTTTGTCGTCGTCATCCGCCTCCAGAATGATCACATTGGCATCAAAATAGCCTTTAACAGCTAAGGTTAGCACTTAGCACACATATGGAACTTATACTAATGCAAAAGCTTCACTTGGAGAGAATTGCATGAGAAAGAGAGGCCACATTTTGGATTCGGGATTATCCCTTCTCTTCCTCTCCCTTTCAATATCCTGAAATAAAGACAAAAAATGAGCAAATTCCTCAACCTCTATTATAGTTGCAAATTCAATTTCTAAACTAAATTATCCAAATATTTGTTAAAGCTTTACATGACCCAGAAAGAAACATAATCCACTTCAATTTTCTGGGCACAACTCAAGTTCGAAAACAACAAAAAACTAGCTTCATATAACCAGCAACTCGCTCAAGTTGAAAAAAAGACAAAAAAGACACCAATGACCCTTCTCCTTCATTCCCCTGTATCAACCAATCCAATCCAATTACAAACATATTTTTACAAATACATACACATACTAACATTACCATGGACAATCTTCAACATCATCATTCCCTTCTAGGGTAAATAGAGAACTATGTAGACCTGTTTGGTAAGTTTGAGCTAAACAGTAGTGGTGACAGTTTATTAATGTTTAATAAACTCAACCCAGAGGAAGTTGTTCTAAAAATAATCCAATTCTCTTATCATACCCCGTGCAAATTAGCTCTGATTTTCTATGTAATTAAACAAAAATAAAATATGTAATCTCCAGAAAATTGAAGAATTTTACTTACCAGAAGTAAATGCTTTATATCGTTGATGCTTAAGCCGGAATCATTTCTAGGGTAAATCGAGAAGTAAGTGGCCTCAACCTCACTCGACGTTTTGGGAAAGAAATAGAAATTGCCAAAATACTTCACTAGAAAATAGAAACGAATGAGATGGCAATGGAGAGATGAAGAATGCAGAAAAGGATAATGGAGATCTGGCGGTGGGAGTTTTGATTGGATTCCTGAGTCCTGATTTGGGGATTTCTAATGTTTTTGGGGTTTGGGGGGAGGTTTTGAGCGTATTGATTACTGGGTAAAGATTATAATTAGTTTTAGGATTATTATTCTAATTTGTTAGATTTGGAGGGTAGTGGGCCTAATTATCCCCATTTTATAATGTGGAAATTATATAGAATCAGAATTTTCAAGTTAACATTTCAAAAATTAGATACAAAGTTTATTTTTACAAAAATATATCATAATTAAATATTTAAATATTA